GTAGTACTATAGTAGTAGATGTGGTTCTGGTTACTTGATGTGTCCGGCTCCTGATGATGTCATCAGTTCTGGGTTGTAGTAGTAGATATAGTAGTAGTAGTAGTACTGTAGTAGTACTGTAGTAGTACTATAGTAGTAGATGTGGTTCTGGTTACTTGATGTGTCCGGCTCCTGATGATGTCATCAGTTCTGGGTTGTAGTAGTAGATATAGTAGTAGTAGTAGTACTGTAGTAGTCCTATAGTAGTTCTACTGTAGTAGTACTATAGTAGTAGATGTGGTTCTGGTTACTTGATGTGTCCGGCTCCTGATGATGTCATCAGTTCTGGGTTGTAGTAGTAGATATAGTAGTAGTAGTAGTACTGTAGTAGTACTGTAGTAGTACTGTAGTAGTACTATAGTAGTAGATGTGGTTCTGGTTACTTGATGTGTCCGGCTCCTGATGATGTCATCAGTTCTGGGTTGTACGGGGAGAAGCTGACTCTGTAGACTTCCTGGGAAGTCTTGCAGATCTCGACCACCTCCTGCTGGGTCCAGTTCCAGAGGGTCAGGATGAAGTCCGGGTCCCCGGTGACGCTGACCAACAGGCTCCCTTCCCAGTTGAATTCCACGAAGCTGAACTGGTGCTTGGATCCTCCAGCAGAYGACAGCATGAGCATCAAATAAACCCAGAAATATTAAAAACCATTGATCTGTACTGGTGGATTAGACATGTTCTRCAGCTGCTACAGCTAGTGACCACCGTCACAACAGGTCCTCTGAGGGGGGGGGACATCAATCTGTCACAAAAACATTCCTAACGCCCTCATTTCTTATCTGACTGCTATAAAATATGTCTTCAATTAAAGATGAGAAAATTGCTGATGTTATGATTTGTAAAAAATATGTATTTACCCAACAAATAATCAATAAGCAGTCTGGGAACTTTATATTACAGGTTTTTGTTAACGCGTTTACTGTAGAAGCCCCTTTCTGCCACATTAAACTAACTCATTTATGTTATAGTACTGACGTTCAACTATAATTTAGACTTTCAGTCGAAATCTGAAACAACTGCTCTTTTGCATTTGTTTCTTGGTTCTTGATTYRCGCTGAAGTGACTGAAGACAAATTCTTCCAGCGTGTCATAAAATAAACGCGGTCAGCCCCTCCACTGCTTAGCTCATGAAATGTACTGTGGAAAGAGAAAAAAGTCATGAAGTTTTTTTACTCTGATATATAYAATCATAAACTACAGGATATAACATGTGCTGACTATAAAAACACTGGTACCAGTAGTATCTACAGTTCAGCCTAGTAGTAGTATTAAAGGTAATTTTACTGTTGTCCATCATATTTACAGCCTCTCACAATGTTATCCTAACATAACAACAATATAAAAATATAATAATTTGTTGGAACAGCAATTTACCTGCCATAAGGTTGTCAAAATCAAGCTGCATAAATGACCTACACTCCACATCTCTGACATTTTTAAAATAAAAACTATTTTAATGACCTGTAAAACGTCATAACCTGACCTTGTTGTTGTTATTTATGGCTAAATATTGCATCTATTTTTGAAATTCCTTGCATGACTGTCTGCTGCATCTCCTCTTTACCACCATTCATGGACCTTCCCCAGTCAAAACTCAATGCAGAGCGATTCACCTGTGCGATAAGTCACGTGATGTCCAATCCATAATATAAAATATAAAAACAACCAGGGGAAATGTTTTTACCTCTGAGGACTCGGTACGGTCTTAAAGAAGGAAACTCGTACACCACGATGACGGCTTTGGTTCCTTTTTCTGCCACAGCAACATACTTCCTGCTGGGATGAACCTGGAAACAAAGAAATAAAAAAACTCTTCTCATCAGGAACTCAGATCGACTCCTCAAACATTTAGAGGCAGAAAATCATTTRAAGCTAAAAATAAAACATTTTGTCTTCTTTAATGATTCAAACTAGTTTTATCACAAAACATGAAGCTGAGAGAAAATGTAACATTAAATTTACACATACTGAGATTAAACTGAAMCTGGTAATGTAGTTTTCTTCTTTCAGCTACTGGCTCTGATACGTCATGTTTATGTTAACCAGCCTTTTGCAAATTGTAGCTAGCTCCTTGCTAATTATAGCATCTAGCTAGCATCTAAACATCTCTGGCTAGCATTTTGTAAAACTTTTAGCTAGCTTTTTGCTACTTTTGGCATGATTTAGTAAGCATCTCATTACCTTTGGTTAGCAACTTTTAGCAGCTCAATACCTTTGGAAAGTTATTTTTAAATTTGAACTTTTAGCTTTTTGCTACTTTTATATTTAATTAGCATCTTGTTAACTTTAGCTGGCCTTTTGCAACTTTTAGCTAGTGTTAACTACTTTTAGCATCTAGCTAGCATCTCAATGCCTTTGGCTAGCCTTTTGCAAGTTTTAGCTAGTGTTAACTAATATTAGCATAGATAGCATCTCAATAGATTTGGCTAGGCTTTTGCAACTTTTAGCTTTTAGCTAGTGCTTTGCTACTTTTAGTATCTAGCTAGCATCTCAATACCTTTGGTTAGCAACTTTTAGCATCTAGCTAGCATCTCAATACCTTTGGTTAGCAACTTTTAGCATCTAGCTAGCATCTCAATACCTTTGGTTAGCAACTTTTAGCATCTAGCTAGCATCTCATTACCTTTGGTTAGCAACTTTTAGCATCTAGCTAGCATCTCAATGCCTTTGGCTAGCCTTTTGCAAGTTTTAGCTAGTGTTAACTAATTTTAGCATAGCTAGCATCTCAATAGATTTGGCTAGGCTTTTGCAACTTTTAGCTTTTAGCTAGTGYTTTGCTACTTTTAGTATCTAGCTAGCATCTTAATACTTTTGGCTAGCTATTCTTAAATTTTAACTTTTAGCTAGCTTTTTCCCWCTTTTAGCATTTACTTAGCATCTTGTTACCTTTGGATGGTCTTTTGCACCTTTTAGCATGTAGCTAGCATCTCAAAAGATTTGGCTAATCTTTTGCAATTTTTTGTTTTTATCTCTGCTACTTTTAGCATGTAGCTAGCATCTCAATACCTGTGGTTAGCCATTTGCAAGTTCTTGCCTTTTGTTTGTGCCCTGTGTGCTTTGTTTAGCTCAGTTTCAGGTTCTTCAGCTAATTTYAGCTTTTCTTTTAGCGCTCAGTGTTGACTCTGTGTTCTAACAGAAAACATCATTTCAGTGGTTCCTCCAGGTGYTCTTACAGCGATGGCGCCAATCCCTCCCCCGCCGCAGGAGCGCAGGTATCTCTGCTCCTTGGTGGAAATGTCCAGCAGGATGAGAAAGTTTCCTGCGATGAAAAGCAGAGTCCGGTCGTCCAGCAGCTTCAGGTTYGCCCTCCGCCTGCTGTCGTAACCGAACGAGTGTCTGAACGCACGGAACGGTTCAGGATCAGAAACTWCAGCTTTATTTTCTTACATCACATCAGAAAACAGATTAGTGTTTAAACGTTTTGTTGTTTTATGTTCCAGAAGGATACGAGAGGTGCAGGAAGTCCTCCGGGAGCTCGCACCGCGGAGAGATGAAGGGTCTGGAGTGAAGCTCCTCGTGTGGGCAGAACACAGGGTCTGCGGGGAGCTCCTTCGTCTTTGGTTCTGCCTCAGATTCCTGCTGCATCGTCAGGTCGTCGCTGCTGCATCCTGTCAGAAGAAACAAACATGTTTGTGCTCAGATTTCTTGTTGAGGACGACTCTCAGCTACTACCACACCTAGTTTGAGCCAAGTTGACTGAGTTAGTGGCACATTTTAAATTTCAGGTCAATCAGCTGTTGATGTTTATCTAATGTTTACTTTGAGATATTTAAATAAAATCTGTCCTCTTGTTTGTGAGATATTTTGCTAACCAACAAACACACTGATACAACTAGACACGGGTTTTTACGATGTAAAAACAAGTGTGCATTGCCWCGTAGCATGGCTTTGACTGCAGCATTGGACTTGCAGAATGAACTTTGACCAAGTTCAAATGTGTTTTCTAWACCAGCTTGTGCCTGTCACGTCAGCAGKTGTTTGTAATTAAGGTAATTGTGTGACGATATGATGTTTGAAGAGATTTTTTCTTAAAGTTGCATTAGCTGGGTTTTGAACCCTGATCTCCCACATGAACACCCATGACCTAGACCATTAGACCAGTGGAGCTGTGGCAGAAGGTGGCGGCAGGGGTTGGTTTGTATGTGTGCAGAAAGAGGCCACATTGCCAATACAATTATTGACACAAAAATGCATAATATCACATATAACAATCGAGCAGTATTAAGACAATATTATAGTAAAACATCAAAATACAATCATATTATTATTGTAAACACTGAACTACTGAGTTGAAATATTAAACTATGGTGCAGTACCAAGTTGAGTACAGCATTGGGTAGTATTGGACCAATACAAGGCTCCATTGACTGCCATTATAATTCATTAAACATTAATATTTCATAAACTATAAGTTTTACAGGCACCAAAAGGCATAACCATCATTTGGCATTGGGGCTTTACAGATATAAATTACAATGGCAGCTGTAGGACAAAGTGTGCAGGAGGAGAAGCATGGCAACGTTGAGATGACTTGGATGGGAAACGAATCACAATAGRTTACACAACCACCCATCCCTCATGGTGGAAGGCTACAGTTAGGATGAGAAACATCACATCTGAACAGGAAATAAAAGATACGTGTGATAAACACAGCTGTGATTAGAATAATTATAAGTGCAGGTAAATATTTCATTATTCAAACATTTCAAAAAACTTTCTCTGCAAGTAAAGAAATAAAAATTAAAAACTTAGTTTTTATGTCAAATTAAATATAATAAAAACAGATAATTATTTTATTTTGTTCCCCCCGAAAATTAGCTTTTTATTGTTACTATAAATTAAAATGTCTTTACTGTTTTATTTTTTTCAGTTTGTGTTTGCTAACTATATAAAATGACTTAAGTTAGTTGAGGTGGCTAGCATAACTTAGCAT